TCTCCACTCTGTTCAAAGCTACAGAAAGTTTGGCCTTTAGTTATACTTTAATCCCCAGTTTAATGACCATGTCTAGTCTGAGATGATGTAAGCGGTCTGCTGTAGGCAGTGAGAAGCATTTCTTCAGTCTCCTCTCCCCTAGTGATCAGATTACACATTTGCAGCAAGTCGCAAGGTGACAGGTAGCAGGGGCTGATCTGTGTCACGAAAAAGAATACAAGGGGGCGCCACTAAGTGCAGTATTAAAAAGCGATTTTAATAAACCAAAGGTATTGAAGTCCCATATTTCATGGGGTAACAGGCATTGGGAGATCATTGTCACTCCTATGTTGTCATATCAGCAGATTCCGGCACTGGGTGGATGGGGCCAGGGCTGATCGGGGAGCAACGCCGGACTTCCACGCTTACCAGAGGCACCAACATCTGGGATCATTATGTGGTGCGGGACCAGAAGTGACGTCACAAACCACCATGGACCGCACAATGCTGTTCTATGTTGATAGAACTATACAGACACAGAGGAACATTGCCGATTTGTGAAGGAAGGAGTTGATCAGCATGGCGTACTTTATTTATTTAAGTCTCATGGTGGAGCTGCCTACTGGGTGCTGTTTATGGACTTTTGTAAAGAAATGGACATTATGGATTTAGAAATTGTTTTTTATTCACTGCTATTTTATACTCATTATTCTTCCCCATATTGAAGGTTTGCGCCATATATTTTGTGTATACATTGCTGATCTGTGTCAGACTTTTGTGTACACAACCAAGAATTGCACATGCACCAGGGTTTACATGATTATATCATGCATCTCAGCCTAAGAAGTATATGATGACCCTGGGTTATGCCTGAATGAAGGTGGTGCCATTCTTCTGGAGAAACAGAAAATAAAGGTGTGTATTTTAGCAGGCATGCATGCACCTCACATAAAAATGATTTGATGCTAGGTCCACTTTAAAGAAAATGTTTTATCCCACTGTCTGTGTAATGCTTTCTCTCTTTCCTCCGTTGCTTTGAATAGATTTTTTTTAAACTAAACCGTTGCCTAATGGGGAGAGAAAACGTTCCCAAAAAACGTGATCAAATTATGTGGCTGCATCCAACCATTCTGTATTCCTACCCACATGGAAGAAAATATATTTTAAAAATACTCTTTCCAAATATATTGACATATATTTGAAATGCTACAATTTTGGCCATATTCAATATATTTCAAAATATATTTCAATAAAAATTTATATATATATATATATATATATATTATATATATATATATATACAGTTGCAAGAAAAAGTATGTGAACCCCTTGGAATTACGTGGAGTTTTGCATGAATTGGCATAAAATGTGCTCTGAACGTCATCTAAGTCACAACAATAGAAGAACACAGTCTGCTGAACATAATACTACACAAACATTAGATGTTGCCATGGTTTAATTGCACATAACATGTAAACATTCACAGTGCAGGGAGGAAAAAGTATGTGAACCTTTGGACTTAATAACTGGTTGACCCTCCTTTGGCAGCAATAACCTCAACCAAACGTTTCCTGTAGTTGCAGATCAGACCTGCACAATGATCTTGGAGTCATTTTGGACCACCCTCTTCACAAAACTGTTTCAGTGTAGCAATATTCTTGGGATGTCTGGTGTGAATCGCTCTTTAGGTCATGCCACAGCATTTCAATCGGGTTGAGGTCAGGACTCTGACTGGGCCACTCCAGAAGGCGTATTCTGTGCTGTTGCAGCCATTGTTTTGTTGAATGACTTGTATGCTTTGGGTCATTGTCCTGTTGCATCACCCATGCTCTGCGGGAGCTTCAGTTGGTGGACAGACGGTCGTAACGTTTTCCTGCAAAATGTCTTGATAAACTCTGGAATTCATTTTCCCATCAATGACAACAATTCGTCCAGGCCCTGAGGCAGCAAAGCAGCCCCAATCCATGATGCTCCCTCCGCCATGTTTTACAGTGGGGATGAGGTTTTGATGTTGGTGTGCTGTGCCTTTTTTTCTCCACACATAGTGTTGTGTGTTCTTCCCAAACAACTCAATCTTGGTTTCATCTGTCCACGGTATATTTTGCCAGTAGTGCTGTGGAACATCCAGGTGCTCTTCTGCAAACTTCAAACGTGCTGCAATATTCTTTTTTGGACAGCAATGGCTTCCTCCGTGGTGTCCTCCCATGTACTCCATTCTTGTTTAATGTTTTCCTTATTGTAGATGTGTCAACAAAAATGTTAGCATGTGCCAGAGATTTCTGTAGGTCTTTAGCTGACACTCTGGGATTCTTCTTTACCTCATGCAGCATTCTGCGCTGTGCTCTTGCAGTCATTTTTACAGGACGACCACGCCTAGGGAGAGTAGCAACAGTGCTAAACTTTCTCCATTTGTAGACAGTCTGTCTTACCGTGGACACATGAACATCAAGGCTTTTGGAGATACTTTTGTAACCCTTTCCAGCTTCATGCAAGTCAACAATTCTTGATCGTAGGTCTTCTGAGAGCTCTTTTCTGCGAGGCATGGTTCACATCAGACAGTGCTTCTTGAAACCAGTAAACCCAAAACTGGTGTGTGTTTTTTAAGGGCAGGACAGCTGTCAGCAACACATCCAATATCATCACACTGATTGGAGTCAAGGTTGGCTCACTCCTGGCTCCAATTAGCTCTGGGAGAAGTCATTAAGCTAGGGCCTCACATACTTTTTCCTCCCTGCACTGTGAATGTTTACATGTTATGTGCAATTAAACCATGGCAACATCCAATGTTTGTGTAGTATTATGTTCAGCAGACTGTGTTCTTCTATTGTTGTGACTTATATGATGTTCAGAGCACATTTTATGCCCAATTCATGCAAAACTCCACGTAATCCCAAGGGGTTCACATACTTTTTCTTGCAACTGTACATACATATACACACACACCAGGGGCAGACTGACCATTTGGAAACTCGGGCACTGCCCGAGGGCCTGGGGGTCAGTAGGGGGCCCCATGAGATGCCCCTGGTACCTTTTTCATAGGCTTTTTTGAGTGTGGGCAAGGACACAGGGGCCCCATGATCCCCTATTGCCCGGGGGCCCCATGAGTTGTCAGTCCGCCCCTGACACACACACATACACTGCATGTTGAAATGCATTTTTTATATATTACAAAATATATGAAAAATATTTTTAAAAATAAATTTCAAATACACAGTATTGGAATTCATTTACAAATATATGAAAAATATTTTTAAAGATATAGATTTTTTAAATATATTCTTCAGATTTTTCTTAACATATAAAAAGTCATTTTTACATATATTTGTAACCGTATTTGCCGGCGTATAAGACGACTTTTTGACCCTTGAAAATCTTCTCAAAAGTCGGGTGGGTCGTCTTAATACGCCGGTACACATGTTAGGGGGGCTGCGGCAAAATACAGGGGTTTGCAGGGGCTGACGTCTCTTACCTGGATCCAGTCCCACGACGATCCGGTCCAGGAAGCGCGGCGTCTCCTTCAGTTCGGCCACTGGATGTTCGTGCGGCTGCGCGGCTCCGCCTCCTCACCGGTGATTGGCCGCCAGAACTGTAGCTCAGGAAAGGCACACAGGCGGGCCAATCACCGGCGAGGGGGCGGAGCCGAGCGCCCCGCGCGAAAATTGAGTGCCGGAGCAGCAGGTAAGTGCTCTGTGTAGAGGTGCTGCTGCAACCACATATGCTGGCTGCAGCAGCACCATACGAGAACAGGGTCAGCAAGTCTCAGTGGGAGGAATAGTGCCCCATCATTGGTGTCACTGATACCAATGATGGGGCACTATTCCTCCCACTGATACCAACGATGGGGCACTATTCCTCCCACTGACACCAACGATGGGGCACTATTCCTCCCCCCCACTGACACCAACGATGGGGCACTATTCCCCCCCCCCACTGACACCAACGATGTGAATTTGGATTTTACACCAACGGGGCACTATTCCTCCCCCCACTGACACCAAATGATGAAGCACTATTCCACCCCTCACTGACACCAATGATGGGACACCATTCCTCCCACTGACACCAATGATGGGGCACTATTCTGCCACTGATACCAATGATGGGGCACCTATTCCCCCCACTGATACCAATGATGGGGCACTATTCCTCCCACTGATGCCAATGATGGGGCACCATTCCTGCCACTGATACCAATGATGGGGCACCTATTCCCCCCACTGATACCAATGATGGGGCACTATTCCTCCCACTGATAACCAATGATGGGGCACTATTCCTCCCACTGACATCAATGATGGGGCACTATTCCTCCCACTGGTGTGCATTGGAAGAGGGGTAGTCTTATACGGCGAGTATAGCCCAAACACAACATTTTAGCAGGAAAAAAGTAAGGGGGGTCGTCTTATACGCCCAGTCGTTTATACGCCGGCAAATACGGTATTTATAAATGAATTCCAAAAATGTAGATTTGTATTTTTAAAGACATACTGTGTATTTGAAATTTATTTTTAAAAATATTTTTCATATATTTTGCAATAAAAACGCATTTCAACATGCAGTATATAAATATATATATATACTGTATATATATATATATATATATATATATATCAGGGGCGGACTGACAATTCATGGGGCCCCTGGGCAATAGGGGATCATGGGGGCCCCTGTGTCCTTGCCCAAACTCAAAAAAGCCTATGAAAAAAGGTACCAGGGGCATCTCATGGGGCCCCCTACTGACCCCGGGCCCTCGAGCAGTGCCCGAGTTTCAAATGGTCAGTCTGCCCCTGATATATATATCTATATATATCCCTCGGACACAGCGGATCACCGATCACGGAAAGAGCCGAAGATGTCGGCTCGGTCATGTGATCAGCTGTGTCCAATCACAGCTGATCGCATGTAAATAGGGAAATGCCGGTTATTGACATTTCTTTCCTCACGAGCTGTCATGCTGACAGAGGAGAGGAGAGCCGGTAATCGACATTCCTCGGAGGGGACATGTACACTGATCATTAGGGCACTGATGATCAGTGTGCCATGATGATCTGTGTAGCCCCCAGCAGTGCCACCTGTCAGTGTCCATCATGCCACAAATCAGTCATCTTGCTCATACATGCCACCTGCCAGTTGCCAGCATATCAATGCCCAATCAGTGCCTGAGCTGCCTTTCAGTGTCACCCATCATCAGTGCCAATCAGTGCCTATCAATACCAATCAGTGCTGCCAATCACACCATCAGTGCCAGCTATTAATGCCAATCAGTGCCACCTATCAGTGCTGCCAATCAGTACACCTATCAGTGCCAGTTAGTGCCAGCTATCAATGCCAATCAGTGCCACCTATCAGTGCCAGTCAGTGCCAGCTATCAATGCCAATCAGTGCCACCAATCAGTGCTGCCAATCAGTATCACCTATCAGTGCCAGTCAGTGCCAGCTATCAATGCCAATCAGTGCCACCTTTCAGTGCTGCCAATCAGTACCACCTATCAATGCCAATTAGTGCCACCTATCAGTGCTACCACTCAGTACCACCTATCAGTGCCAGTCTCATGCGCGGTTAGAATGGGAGGACATCATATGACGTCCTCCCAGAATGAGAGAACCGCCTTGCGCCCATCATTGTACTATATGGCGGACGGGAGGCGGTTAAAAACAAAATTTATAAATGCACTGAAAACCAATTAATCCAAACATATTGTGAAAAAAATTTGTAAACCGAGGCATTATTTTCAATGGATTTTCCTTCATAAAACGAAAATTACGTTAACCGAGGCGTTCATAAACCGAGGTACGCCTGTACTGGGATGATGCCTGTACCTGTGGGCATCATCCAGTATAATCACTCAATATACTGCTACTGAAGTGGGCTGAAGTGGTTAAAAAAAAAAAAAAAGCGTGAACAGGGTTCAGGGGGGCCATATCTTCCATATGAAGCCAAGATCAAGAACACAGGGACACGACCTCAATCTAGCAGGGGGAAAGTTCAAAACCAAATCACAGAATGTAATATTTTACTGAAGGAGTAGTTGATGCTTGGAGTAGACTTCCAGCAGAGGTAGCGAGACAGTCAGCAGTAAGTGGTTTCAAACATGCTTGAGATAAACAGAGATCTATACTCGGGCAAAACAAAATAAAAACGGAAAGAAAAAATGAAATAAATAAATAAAACATGAGGCAGACTTGATGGACCCCTTGGCCTTATTTTTATTATTTAATTGTTTTGGATATTTTAGGTTTGTCCTCATATTGTATAGTTTTGGTAAATCTAAAAGGAGATTGTACAAAGATTGTACAGTCAGATTGTGGCATGTATGGTAGGCGAAGGTTCATGACCACAGGTGTTCTAGTTTTGTTGCTTCTTCCAGTGAATGGAAAACACAGCATTTGACCGGGAAGGCTGTGCTTGACCTGCTTTTCCTGCAATTAAAATGTACCTTATCAAGGCATCATGTGTCAAAAGAAATGCAGAGCAAGGTAAAAGGGGTCAAATACAGCCTCTGAAGGGCCATGGGTACCGATCAACGTTAATAGGGCTGAGCTGACCTGCATTAGACATGCATTCCAAAACATCCAACCACAGGAGGACGAGGATCACCAACATGAGCCCTTGGACTGCTGCTGCTGGAACATGTGTCTCACTGGCAGGTTTCGCCTTTCCTCCTGTCCTGGTGACTACTGTGACATTGTGGATTTCCCATCACTCTCTCTCTTAAGGCTTGTTCACATGGGCAGCAAGAGGGCGGTAAAATCACAACTGAGCCATGGTTTTACCATCCCTGACTGCCCACCTGAACAACAGCGTGGAACTGCTGAGGGCTGTATACATGCTGTGGCAAAAACTGAACAGCATTTAGTATTCAGTCGGTAGCGTCGCCACCAAACATGACCCATTAAAGTGAATGGTACTGTACTGCACTGCAAGTGCCCCATAATCTTGTGAAATGCAGGTGTGGGGCGATGGGTTGGCATTTTCAGGTCTCCTCACCACCTCTTAAACATCCTTGAAAAGGGATCCACTGCGGATTGATTTTCAGAGAAATGGCAAAGCCACCACATGTATGAATGATCACTCAGTGATAAGGCCACTGGGGCAGAAAATGGGTAAGTCTCCCCAGCTGGGACACAGACAGAAATGAAAACCCAACAGAGGTTCTAACCTTCCCCAGTCTATCTAAAGCATCACCCAAGGTCCAAGAACAGCTTTGCATTACACATAATACTGGATATAAATGTCATTCTTGGCTCAGCTATAGTGTCTGCTGGTTCACATGTAGTGCTAACGAAGAACCCCAGTGCTAGTGAAGAATCCTGATGCTAGTTAAGAATCTTGATGCTAGTAAATAATCCCAGTGCTAGTGAAAAATCCCGATTCTAGTGAAGAGTCCCGATGCTAGTTAAGAATCTTGATGTTAGTAAAGAGTCCCAATGCTAGTGAAGATTCTTGATGCTAGTAAGGAGTTCTTATGCTAGTAAGGAGTCCTGATGCTAGTGAAGAACCCCAGTGCTAGTGAAGAATCCTGATTCTAGTGAAGAGTCCTGATGCTAGTGAAGATTCCTGATGCTAGTGAAGATTCCTGATGCTAGTGAAGAGTCCCAATGTTAATGAAGATTCCCAATGCTAGTGAACAATTCTGATGCTAGAGAAGAATCTCGATGCTATTCAAAATTCCTGATGCTAGTGAAGAATCCCAATGTTGGTGAAGAGTCCTGATGCTAGTGAAAATCCTTATGCTTATAAAGAATCCTGATGCAAGTGAAGAATCCCGATGCTAGTGCTAGTGAAGAGCCCCGAGTGAAGGTGCTAGTGAAGAATTCCGGTGCGAGTGAAGAATCCCGATGCTAGTGAAGAGTACTGGTGCTAGTGAAGAGTCCGGAGTCCCGGTGCTAGTGAAGAATCCCGATGCTAGTAAAGAGTCCCGGTGCAAGTGAAGAATCCCGATGCTAGTGAAAAGTCCCGATGCTAGTGAAAAGTCCCGGTGCTAGTGAAGAATCCCAATGCTAGTGAAGAGTCCCAGTGCGAGTGAAGAGTCCCGATGCGAGTGTGAAGAATCCCGATGCTAGTAAAGAGTCCCGGTGCAAGTGAAGAGTACCGGTGCAAGTGAAGAGTCCCGATGCTAGGGAAGAGTCCCGGTGGTAGGGAAGATTCCTGATGCTAGTTAAGAGTCCTGATGCTAGTGAAGATTCCTGGTGCTAGTGAAGAATCTTGATGTTATTGAAAATTCCTGATGCTAGTGAAGAATCCCGATGCTAGTGAAGAATCCCAATGCTAGTGAAGAATCCCGATGCTAGTGAAGAATCCCGATGCTAGTGAAGAATCCCGATGCTAGTGCAGAGTCCTGATGCTAGTGAAAATTCTCATGCTTATAAAGAATCCCGATGCTAGTAAAGATTCTCGGTGCTGGCGAAGAATCCTGGTGCTAGTGAAGAGTCCCAGTGCGAGTGAAGAATCCCAATGCTAGTGAAGAGTCCCAGTGCGAGTGAAGAATCCCAATGCTAGTGAAGAGTCCCAATGCGAGTGAAGAATCCCGATGCTAGTGAAGAGTCCCGGTGCAAGTGAAGAGTACCGGTGCAAGTGAAGAGTCCTGATGCTAGGGAAGAGTCCCGATGCTAGGGAAGAGTCCCGGGGGTAGGGAAGATTCCTGATGCTAGTTAAGAGTCCTGATGCTAGTGAAGATTCCTGGTGCTAGTGAAGAATCTTGATGTTATTGAAAAGTCCCGATGCTAGTGAAGAATCCCGATGCTAGTGAAGAATCCCGATGCTAGTGAAGAGTCCTGATGCTAGTGAAAATTCTCATGCTTATAAAGAATCCCGATGCTAATAAAGATTCTCGGTGCTGGCGAAGAATCCTGGTGCTAGTGAAGAGTCCCAGTGCGAGTGAAGAATCCCAATGCTAGTGAAGAATCCCGATGCTAGTGAAGAGTCCCGATGCAAGTGAAGAGTCCCGGTGCAAGTGAAGAGTACCGGTGCAAGTGAAGAGTCCCGATGCTAGGGAAGAGTCCCGGTGGTAGGGAAGATTCCTGATGCTAGTGAAGATTCCTGGTGCAAGTGAAGAATCTTGATGTTATTATTGAAAAGTCCCGATGCTAGTGAAGAATCCCGATGCTAGTGAAAATTCTCATGCTTATAAAGAATCCCGATGCTAGTAAAGATTCTCAGTGCTGGCGAAGAATCCTGGTGCTAGTGAAGAGTCCCAGTGGTAGTGAACAATTCCGATGCTAGTGAAGAGTCCTGGTGGTAATGAAGAATCTTTAATGCTATTGAAAAGTCCTGATGCTAGTGAAGAATCCCAATGCTAGTGAAGAGTCCTGATGCTAGTGAAAATCCTCATACTTATAAAGAATCCCGATGCTAGTGAAGAATCCCGATGCTAGTGAAGAATCCCGATGCTAGTGAAGAATCCCGATGCTAGTGAAGAATCCCGATGCTAGTGAGAAACCCCCATGTTGGTGGTATAGTGTGGTCTTATAAGTCCTAACCCAGCTGTGGGCCAACACATAGTAAAGATGAAACAATACTCTCTATTGTATACTTTAACCAAAAATACTAATATAATCAACATATGGAAAAGTTGTGTTTCTCCTGCAGCTGACGTGCCAGAACCCCCAACATACCTGCAAGGTATTGGCTCAGGTAGGTCACCTGTGGGGATATTGGCTATCATCACTTTTATCTCGGACACTGGGGTTGTGTATTTAATCCCCACCGTGGACACACACCATCTGCATCCAATTTGTGTCAGTTTCTTTCCAAAACCAAGAAGTATACTGGTAACCAACAGCCCAGAGTGGCCATAGGATATAGGCAGGTATTCTATGATTAAAGGTGACCATACACTATGCAATCTATTTGTACAATTTCTGTACAGACTTACAAAATTAAATTATGTGATAGCAACCCTAAACAATACATTGCATTTGTACCAAATTGAGCATTCTCTCACTACGAAGTTGATGGTAGAGCCAAAGGAGATTGTCAATCAGATTGTCTAATGTATCTTAAGGAACACATTACAGCTTTAAGCTGTCCATTCACTATACAACCAGATTGTACAATCTCTGTACAATCTCCATTAGATCTACCAAATCTATGTAATGTGAGGACACATCTAATCATTCTATTCAGTTTCTATCAAATGAGGCAAGCCCTTGCTCTACGTAGTAGATGGTAGATCTGAAAGAGATTGTACAGTGTATATTCAGCTTTAGATTTACCAAAACTGATATGAAAATGAAATATGTGGATCTACCTAAAATATCTCATCAATTTGTATCCAATCAGGCAGCCCCCTGTGCTACTGTTTGTAGACCTAAGGGAGATTGTACAATCAGATTGTAATGTGCGCT